TGGAGCGGAAACGATTGTGGCCGTTTCATAAACGGAATGTGCGCACCGCATGTATATATTGGATACATTGTATTCCATATTTTGTGTATGTGTGGTGGACGAAAAGCGATTCCGACTATTTCGTGTAATTCACCGTGAAGATGATTTTTATGATCCACATGAGCGAATGCTATGAACATTGGAATTGATGGAGCTCGATTTCATTTTTTTTTTGCTCGTCGTTTGTGCAATTTTGATATGACGTTTACATTGTTTGCTCGCATAATCCGGTGCTGTTTTTTCCACTGCGAATCATCATCATAAAATTCGGCAAATCAAAACCATCTCGAAGTGGCAGCCAATTACATTATTTGTCTCGGTACACCGTTGTCATCATCATCGTCGTCGTCGCCGTCGCCGTCGCTCTCTTCTCTTCGTGCGCATTTCACCGCGCCACAATGTAATTAAAGCAAATATAATTAAACATTTATATACATTCCAATTTGAGCGCAATAACCATTTGGTTTTTATGTTTATTTTTATTGGCATTTATTGCATGTATGTGTCCATTGGTTCGTTCATTCGCTAGCGATTGTTGGCAGTTTTCTTCTTCATGCTTTTTTTTTGCAAGGTTCGCACATTTCTACAGTCAGATCCATATAGATAAATTAAGATCTTTAAATGTGTCAACGCAGTTGTCGCACTTTAAATAAGAAGGCTGAAAGTTTCTCTTTCTCTCATACACTCGCTCCTTTCGCTGATCGTCATTTGAATCAAATGGCCATCATGCAAAAAAAAATTCACACAAGCAACTGAAAAACTTGAAAATGATGAAAATATCAGCCTCCACAAATAAGCGAATCATCATCTGCACACGCGCGTTAATTATTCAAGTGTGTCTTTGTTTGCATTTTCATTTCTCAGCACTCATCGGCAAACACAGTCTATTAAAAATGACATTTAAACACACACACACTTAGTGTGACCAAAACAAATTACTGAAATTGCCCAACGGCAATATTGAAATGTTAATTATCTCGATGACGAACCAATATACCGTAAGTGTTACGGTGCGATTTAATTTATAACTCTGGTTTTTTTCCCTATCATCATCATCATCATCATCATCGTCGTCGTCTTCTTCTCCATCACCATGAACGGCAACGATTTCTAATTTTAATTGGTTTAGCTATCAGTTAGATCAATCGATTATCATTAATTTGGTGTCTGTGTCGCGGTGAATTGAATGGCGTGAGATCCGTTCAAGCTACCGCTAAACGGAATCTCCATCTTGCAAGAATCTTCTCCTTCTCTCTGTCCGCGCATGGTGATAAATTTTAACGAAAAAAAAACAAACAAACACATTGGAGCCATTTCACAAATGTCACTTCAAATCATGCTTTTCCGCTTTTATGGCTCAAACGAATGACATTTTGAATGTCTCCAACATTCTCTCTCTCCCGCTCCCTGCGGCTGATGCTGGACCATTAATTCGCCCAAAAAATATAGATGTCAAATATATTAATCAATTTATTTTATGGTCCGTCTGTTCATTGGACGGAGTAAGCAACGAAGCGATGGCTTGTTTAAATTGTATTTGCGCGGCCAACGTCATCGTCGTCGTCGCTGCTGTCACTGCCATCATCGTCGTTGCCATCGTACACATGAACTGTGTGAATGTTTACGACTCAATGGCCAATAAAACGCAATGCACGCTCGCTCGTTTGCTTCGAATGTCCATTGATTATTATTTACGAGCCGAAATATTACTTAAAAAAATCATTTTTATTGTACTTTTGCCCGTTTCGAGCATCGACTCGGATCGGGGCGCGCGTGAACGAAATTTGCGTAGTTTAATTTTTTTTTTCTCTTTCGAATTGGTGTGCTGTACTGTGCCATTACTGTTGATTATCAAAACCATGAATTCGTGTACTTTTTATTAGGACATGTTAATGCCTTAATTTTGCCTCGTTTTACAGCCCCCTGCTATTACAGTAATATATCTGATGTGCGTCAATTGGTCGGTTGACTATCAAACTCTTAGCATGGATGCAATTTAATGACATTGGCCACGATTGGCGACTCTCTCTCTCTCTCTCTCTCTCTTCAACTCTCCCCGACTCTGTCGATACCGTTCTTCCTCCATTCAATACATAAATGCGGTGAAATTAATTGTTATTGCTTCGGTAAGTACTGGATCCGACGAGGGAAAGGAGCCAAACAAATGGACAGGGTGAGAGAGTGCAATGGCGAGAGATGAAGAGAAAGGGAGAATGAGAGAGCATGATGCATTGAAGAACAAAAACAAATGACCGCATGCGTTGGTTATAATTATACAATAAATGAACCACAAAAATGGATTTATAGTACCAGTTTGTTGGTCGACCATATTTATGAAATTAGGCACAAAGCCGTTAAATCTATGCGAAAATGAAAAAAGTCCGCGTTAAATTAAGAACCGTCGCCGTAATAAACAATGAACTTGTAATTCCACGACTAATATAAACAGCCTCATAAACAATTTTGTTTCAATTGTAATCGCCGTCGAATGTGTTTGCTGTTTTTTTTTCTGTTTTCCACGATAAAAGCTTCGATTTTGCCAAACAAAGCAAACGGAATTGCGTTGGCCAATCATTTGGGCCGAATTTGCATCTGAAATGCAACAGTCACGATTACAACTGTTATTGAAGCGTTCTTGTTCCCAAAGATATATACATTTCGAGTTGATTTATTTGCAAGCTTGCAATTTACAAATCATAAAATCGCCTTAAGCCAGTGGCACAGCTCGACAAAAAAAAAGTGTACGGTATAAGAATTGGCAATTAAAATGTTCCAACAAGCCAATTTCCAGCTCATTTTATTGTGTTTTGTGTGCGCTGCTTTTTTCGGGGTTTCGAACTCGTTTCGAGCGTTAGTTTGAGCGTTTGCATCGTAATTTCTCATAATTAATTATGTAAACGAATCAGAATTTTTGCTGTTTTCATTTGCATATTGAATTTCCATTTGGAAAAAGTGAAAGAGTTCACGGAAAAAATGGGCGGCATGAATCGTCTGTTTTTGTTATTTTTATCGCGCCATCACACACTTTGATTCCATTGACTGTGCGATGTGTATTCGTTGTTAATTCGAAAAGCTGCGTGTATTTGTTGATTTAATTTTTGTTTTGTTTTCGACTAATTAATTAGCTTCGGTTTGATGAATAATCACACACTCACCACTGAATACCAAATCAATGGAATTGAAACGTTGCCACACACAAAAATCAAACAAATGGTACAAAGTTCGGGTATCATGAGTAATTTGAAATCAATAAATCACCATCGCCCCAAAATCCAAAGCACCAAATGAACCAATCGAACGGTTTTCTTTTTTCGTTCGTTCGCTGCTTGTTTATAAAGTGTGGATTAGTTTGTCATTGAACATCACTGTTTCGCAGAGCCATTTATATAATCATCACGCTATCCATATTTCGATCCAATTAATAGAGTCATTTCAAAAAGCTGTTAACTCAATGGGCTCTCTACAACAGCAACAACAATAAATGACATGACAGCTTACGGCGGGGAAAAAAACGAGCCGTCATAATTTTTGCGTGGTTAAAATTTTAACACACTCCGCTCACAAATTGTCCAAATAAAAGCAAAACACCGAGAGGATAATAAATGAACATATATGAAACTTCCAATTCGAGTCAATTAAAAAAAAATGTATATCCAACGATTAAAAATGCGGACCCTCGATGTTGATGTGTGTGCATATGGTGTGTGTGTGAGTGAGCGCGCGCACATTGTGTGTGAATATTGCAGGTGAGGCGGCTATCAAATGAGTAACAGCACATTGACGGCTGAAATGACAACTGCATTTAAAATGTGCCACACCAATTCCAACAGTTCATATGTCCCATATGAAAAATCAATGCCGCATATTAATTTAAATGACTGTACCGCGGATCATGTGTGTGAGTTTGTGTCGGGGCCAATCCCAAAATATGTCACTTTAATTTCAATCGCCGTAAGACTTGAGCTCGCTAGATTTTGTTTTTGCGGTGAATAAACGACGTTGTGTGCAGCTGGAGGAAAAAAATGGCCCTTTTATCTCTTTCTTTGCATGAAAAAGAATGTGTGTGTGTGTGTGTGTTTGCACAAAAAAAGAGCCGTTGGTTTTTTTTTACACCGCATAAAAAGTAATTAAATTTTTTACAATGTTTAATTGCGGAAATTCACCTCAATTTAGCTGTGAATAGCCGCGAAATGACAGTCCATTTGCAGCATATTGGATTTTGCGCCAACAACACCGATTAATCACACACTCACTCGCGAAAAACCGCACGGCCGATAATGCTTTACGATTGCAATTAAAAAGTCATCCATTTTCGCGAGCAACAAAAACGACGAGAAATGCCCATTCATGTCATTTTCCGCGACACGCTCTTTAATTTCGTTCGAATTCGTCTTGTTGCGAATGCGGATTTTTGCGACGTGCATATGAATGATTGAATCGAAAAGATATAATGTCAAAATTAAATACAGAGCAATAAACAAGTCGAAAAATCTTGATACAGATGTTGCACTCTCGTAAGCATGCTCTCGATTATAGGCAATTCATTTTTCTGTTGCTTTTGTACAAAATATTGCCTCCATAACTTTTCCTTATGACTCACATTTATGTCTGCCATTCATATGTTCTGCGATTTTTTTTTCATCTCTGCGTGTGTTTCATGCAGCTAATTCGATAGCTGTTTCAGTTCGAAATTCGAATGGGTCAATAAAAAAAAAACAGAACGACTGTGCGGCTCCAAAAGAAATCGGACAGGTCGATTATGTCGCATTTTTGCATTTTCGATTACGCGCTTGACTTTTTCCATAGTTGCCAATTCCAAAACGGCGAAACGAAAAATTAATGATTTTTTAATTGGACAATATTAAGTGGTGGCAAATTTGAGCAGCCGTGTTGTTGTTTTTTTAAGGCTTCATAATGAAGCTTGAAGAAAGACAGACGAAGAAGCAGAAAAAAACACATACAAAACTTACCGTTGCTGGTATTGATGATAAATAATCCGGTCTGATGTACTGATTGCTCGCGTTATTCGGTGAAGTCAACATTTTGTATACAACGTCGTATTTTTTTTTTTCAATATCTCTCGAACACAAAACGGTGCCAATTGATCTTTTATACCAACACTAGTTTTACTTTTTTTTTCTCTTTAAAATATTCGTTTTGTTTTGGTTTTTTCACTTTTCGATGTTTAAATTCTTACGATTTTTTTTCGCTTCGCTTTTATTGCGGTTAATTTTCCAGCTCAATTTATTATTTTGCAAAATGAGTTAAAATTGCCTGTATTTTTGCACTCTATAATTTTATGTTTGTATTTATGAAGAAAAAATTTTATATTTCACTTGGTTTTTGCTGTTAATTTGCGCACTTTACGCTCTTTCTCCCTCTCTCTCTGTGGCCACAGGCTATAACAGAATTCCGTGGCTTCACACTATTTTTGCTGGTGGTGGTGGCTGTGGCGACGGCTGTAGTGTTGGGCTGTGATGAGTGTCGGATATGATCCAATGTATTGTAATGGACGATCAGCCTCAGATTGACAGGATGGTGTGTGCATTTGAATATAGAGCAGGTGCTTTTGGTTGGTATTCAGCACAGGAACTCAGTTTAAATCCGCACAAATATTGTAATTTACGTTTCACACACGATTTAACTGGTCAAAATTTACTTGATCCATTGATTTTCATATCGCATTCACTCTCATTTCATTCGCCAATTTTCAAGAAAAAACAACCAAAAATTTCATTTAAGCTACACACATGAAACAATACCGATGAGAAAAATCTCTCTGCATATTTTTTTAATCGTCAAATCTTTTTTGTTGTAAAATAAAACACTCGAAAATCGCGCACAAAAATGCGATTAATTTGCAAAGCAATGTTGTTCAAGAAAAAGTGTGTTGAACGTGTGTGTTTTTCTTTCGCTACGTGAATTCAAAACGGTAGCTCACTTATAAATTCATAATTTAGTAATTGACCAAACGCTGTCCGATATTCGGATAAATTCACACTAACTGTAAAGTGTTTTGGGAACAAATGAAGTTCGTCTCTCACTCTCACTCGTCGTGTACAAAACGGATGAGAAGCGCCTTTGATGATGCAAAGTGTGTGTGTGTGTGTGTGCTTTCAAATACGAAAAATGACAACGGAAAAATGAAACACAAAACACGTTCGACGATACAACGATTGTATATACACAACCATACAACGGGAATAGCTGCCAGTAACTAAAGCTATTTGAGCATACACCAGTTCCGGAGAGTTCGAAAAGGCAGCCAAAGAGAGCGAGCGCCAAACCGTGCATACATGCACGACGCGGCCCCGAAAAGTGTGTGAGAGAATATCCAACTCAATTTAACTGCGTTGAAGTGAGAGAGCGTAACACAGTGAAGAGAAACGGAGCAAGAGAGTAAGAGAGAGCATCAACAACGGGCAACACACAACCACTACAGTGTTGCGCTTTGTTGTTTTTGTTGATTTCTTTTTGTTGCTTTTATTCATTCCGTTTGAAACGACGGAAACACTGACGAGAGTTGGAAGAGTAGCTACGAAAACGGCGGCAAAACAACGATTCAATATGATTTGGTTATGTGTATTATGATGATTCCGTTGTGCAAAGCCACTTATACATAGGCAAAACGGCGAACATTTGCGACAACGACGTCGACGACGACGACGACAAATGAATGACGTCGCGCGCGAGAGAGCAAAGGCAGTGCGTGGAGAATTGTTAACAGAAGAGAATAAGCAGCAGCAGCAAACGAACTGTATGTGCTCGAGTCAATTGGTGGCACAAATAAAACAGAGAGTCGGTGTTCGTTGAACAAAACGATTGAAAGTCTTTTAGCGTTGCACACACATCGCTTGCCATTGTGTACATACGGGCCGAACCACAGGCGAAGAGCCACACGAATAGTGAACACAGAGAGTGCGACACATTGTCAGATCGAAGGAGAATATATCGGCGTGTTTGTTATTGCTTGTAAGCACATGCGCTACACCTCGATATACTGAGACCGAGACGAGTCATGCCATTCGACAAGATTTGCTTTTCATGTGTCGGTCGGTAATAGGAACTCATCGCATTCTCCTTTTGTTGCATTCAAATTGTCATCGTTCGTTTTTTTTTTCTTCGCTGGCTCGTTTCCTTTCATGTTGTGCTGCACTTTTCGCCAATTGGCGAACGGATGAGTGAGTGAGAGCATGAGTATGAACTGGGTTTTTTCTACTCACAGCCATTCAGACATATTGTTATTTATGTTTTGTAAACATACTGTCCGTCTCTTATTCTTTGATTGTATGCCCTCTTGTTCTCTCATCGCATTTTCGTTAGCTGTCGTTTAGTGTCGTATAGTTTCTCTATCTCTGGCTGAATTGTGATTATTCGTCGATTTGAGGAAATGATTCTTATGTGGACAGTAAGGCGGGTGCAGCAGCAGCACCGCTTCCACTTGAGCCATTCGCAATTTTCTTTCGGTTTGTTTGTGTCTGTGAGCAGCGGGGAAATAAAGGCAATATGCATCATCATTTTAAATTGCTAATAGATGCTCGTTGTTGGCGTCATCGTTTGCTTCGATTTTCATCGTTTCCCACCGCAATCCATTTTTGCATGCATGTCGAAATTGTGAGATATAGAATGAGTGAGTGACGGAACATGGGAGAAAGAGACACAGCGTACAGCTTTTTGCAATTGGCGTAATCAATGCGAATTTGCAAATGGATTTAAATCGAGTCGACAGCGACTCGACACATGATGAATTGTTGAAAATTTAATTTAAATATTTTATCGTTTGTGTCATGCCCTAATGGAATATGAAGTACAATTTTGTTGTGCGAGCACCGCATGTGCAAATGCACGCAATAAGTGCCCCAGCCAGTGTGTTGGATGTGTTGAATTAAATAGCAAACAACAAAATGCAGATTAAATTGGATTTAGTTAAGAGTAACTAAATACACGCACACACATATACGAAAAAATATGGAATAAAACCCGAGCTGGTTTGGATGTTTTGTTTGAGCCAATTCTGTAAATACGTCGTTTTAACATCATTTTTGATAACACACGATTCGAAAAACCGATTCCGATTAGTGAAGTGCATGTTTGGTTTGTGGTTACTTTGAAATTAAATAATTGCCCCAATTGAATCGTACACACTCACTATATCACGAATGACTCTGATTTCAATGGATTTCTGGTGTTACATTTCGATGGTGCCGCTGGTTTGAGGCGAATGAGCGAGACGAGCGAATAGAGGGAGAGCAAGCGGGTCGATGATTGTCACAAACCAAGTCTTTCTCTCACTCTCTTTCTCTTTCTCACACTCTCTCTCTGACATAACAACAACAGTTCGAGATAATTTAATATTGTGCAATACACAGAGAACAGGCAATTTGGATGAGCGAAAATGCTGACCGAGACTGCTTGTTACTAATTGCGTGTTACATCTCGCAGCATGTTCCTTATTGTCAAGTGATGCGAAGGCGCAAAACACTTAGTTTATGTGGCAGAGTGTCTCTCTCACTTGGTTTGATGTATACACACCGACATCCGGACATGATGCGACATGAATAATTCGCTGTCGTGTGAAATGGACAGCAGTTACAAACGACGACACTTAATGAGAGGGGAAATGTCTCTCGCCTTCTTCGCTTGAGTGTGAGAACCAAAACACTTGAAGGAATGGATGGTGCAAACGAAAAAAAAAAAACGAATCGAATTGAGGGAGATAGGAAGACAAACACACTGCGAATGAATCATGATCGTGATGCTGATACCAATGTATTTGCCAAGGAAAATTACGTTGGTGTACACCAATCAACAAAGCCCGAAGAAGCAATGCGATTATGTCAAACTTTTGTTCGGATATGTTTGCACAAGTACACGATGAAATGCAAACGAAGTTTTTTAAGCTGTAAATGGTTGCGTCAAATGCGCGTCCTTGTGAGGTGGTACGCTTGTTCGTTCGTTCGAAGGAAACAGCTCTCTTCCTTCATCGATTTATGGCAAATAATCCGCAATTATTCACCGATGACCGCCAAAATGAAAAATTCACTTTCACGGTATTATTTTCTGCAAAAGCCCCGACAATTCGAGTGCATATTTCACTTTAGGCAGCCTTGAAACTGACAAAAAAAAACACACACACACACACACAACATTCGCGTGGATGACGAAAAATGGTATGCACAGCACGTACAACGTATGAAATGTTATGCAAAACAGAATCAAATTGCTGCAAAGTGTCTATCGTGCGCTCGCTCGCTCGTTAGCATCCAAACCGAATATATAAAGTTAATGGTGTTCTTCGTCTGTTTTCGCTGTCACATCGCATGTTAGCACATTGCGGATCGAGAACAAACTTTTAATGAAGTGAATAACAGCAGATGCATTACGGTGTCGGCTACACGGATGAATAAATAATCGCATGAAATTGAAAACGCTTGAAAATTACAAATGCGATTATTAAAAGAGGCTTATCAATTTCCATCCAGCACGATAGAACGAGAGAAAGAAGAGAAAAACACCTACAGAAAGAAAAGAACGAGAGTATTTTTGTGCTACTTGAATCTCAGCACAGCAATAACAACAACAAGAACGGGAAAAAATCCAATTTAATTTCCATTAAAACGTTTCGAGACAACAAGAGGGAAAAAAAACGAAGCCAACGAAGAGAAAATAATAGAAGAACGACTCAATCTACGGCGGTTTATTTTGTGGCCTCGATGAAATAATTCATTGGAATTATCGTCGTAGTCTTCTTTGGAATCCATCGCATGGTTTGCTGGTGATGGAGATGCAAGAGAGAGAGAGGGAGAGTTCACTTCTTGAACGACGGTGTACACGCGTTCAAATGCGAAAGAAAAAGAAATCCATAAATTCGCATCAATGCACAAACACTCGCATTGCTTGAGTGGGAAAAATCGCTTCCAAAGGTTGTTAACAGGCCGACAGATCACAAATGGAAAATCTTGGAAAAATCCATAAAAAGGCACACAAATAACACGCGCCGCACTCACACACACACACACACACACATTTACAGATGCTAATCCCCTTGAGATCAATTCACTTGGCAAATAACTTTCAAACGAACTTTTCACAAGGATTGTTGATAGTTCAGCGAGCGACTAGAACGTTCTTAAGTCCATTCGCCCGTGCGCTCGCGTCTTCTTCATCCTACGACGAAAACCATTTCCATTTAAATTGCATCACATGCAATTTTCCACACTTTTTTCACTGCCTGCACTTACTCTCATTCGCTCTTTACTCTCATTATTGCATGCCATCAACAATGCTCGACGCGCTACAATGTTTCTACACACAACCGAGACGAAAAATCGCTGATATTCGAAAACGAACGAACGAACGAAAGAAACTGTTGGCAAAAGTTTTGTCGTCGGCAAGAAAAAAGTGAATGTGTAGTTATTGGTTTTTCGCGCTGAAGAATCTCTCTTGCTGAAAAAGTAACGACTCACGACAAATAACTCACCCTCTCAACCGGAAAGAAAAACACTCACTCACGCTGCCGGCGCAAAATAAATGCACAAGATATTTTATAGTCTATCACCAAAGGGTTTCGCTACGCGGAAAACGAATAATCGCGACTGTGCGCTATGAAATTGCTAATAAATCTGAAAACTTTGACTACATCTGTTTTGCGGAACGATACTTTGCTCGGGCACTAAAAATTAAAACGTGGTGAGGGGCGATGGTATGCATGGCTCTGTATGAGACTGTCAAATTTATGCCAAACAAGTAATACCATTTTACACATTGCACTTAGTTCACATCGCTTCGGTGTACGCGCAAGTATCATAAAAGATTTGCACTTCATTCATTTAAATTAGACGATTTTCACTCGGTGAATTTATGTGAAATTTAAATGATTCCAGCTTCAGAAATGAATTTTATTTTCCCCAGGAACGAAACGGTAGTTTTTTTTTTCATTCAAACTATCGAGGGTATTGCAATTTCTAGATTTCTTCTTCCAGTTGATTCTTTCGAGTTACTATTGTGCTTCTTTTGATTCTTTCTCTAGTCGCAGAGAGTAGTCAGCTCTTTTCGTTATCCTTCTCTTGCATCGAATGTAAAATTTATACAATGTTGCCAATAATTTCGTTGCATATTTCGGCAAAAGTTGCTCACAAGAATGAAACTATGTAATTTTCTCCGTTGTAAACATTCTTTTGTACATTTTTGATGCCAAGCGCATGGCATTCTCCATATCATTCCGCT